CTGTAATAACACATACAGAGAGCGTGCACGTGCTGTAATAACACACATACAGAATGTGCACGTACTGTGACCCTTGTTATTGAACTGGATGCTGTTTTAGAGTCTTACAGTAAAAGTCTTCATGTTTCTGCTTTCTGTAGAGAACTGAATGTTTGTGCCTGATCAGTGTGGAAAACATATCATCTTTCCTTTTTAGTCTTTAAGAAGAAGAAGAAGAAGAAGAAGAAGAAGAAGAAGAAGAAGAAGAAGAAGAAGAAGTGCTTTGTGATGTTAGAGTAAAAAGTGCAATAAGACAAACTGGTTTTGTCACCAGTGTAAACCATCATTTCTGCTCAGAGATGAAGATATTTATCAAACATCATCATGACTTTGCACACACACAATCATGTTCTTCCACATCTGGAAGTTTTAGATTTGTTTTTTAAAGAGTATTTATTCTCATTCCTCTGAGTAAACTAAATAATTTACATGATCAACCTGTGTCAGAAATGACAAATAAAACCTCTGAATCCAGCTCTTGTCTTTGTTTTATTGATGCAACTTTCAGTTTATTAAAACACACTGACAGCATTCTGCCACATGATGACGTCACAACTATGACTTCTAAAGGCTTTATTATATGAATTATAGCACTGAAAAACTTTATACAAAATGAATTTTACACGTCTATTCCTTATTAAAACACATAAATATGACTTTATAACATTATGATTTAACTCATTTATTGTTATGACTTTATGACAGATAATTAGGATTATTAATAATTAATAATATTTGTTTGTTTTCTTCTTAGAGACAGAAATGATTGTCCATCACCTGTCTTCACTCTCACTGCAGAACCCAGACCTTTGCGCATGCGCAGTAGCCTCCGCTCGGCCCACTTCCTGCCAGATAGTGCTCCCTGACGACAGACAAAGCTTGTTAGTGAGGACTCCGGTGAAGAGGCTGAAAAACGGCGCTGCTGGCCCCCCTCCTTCAATGGTAAGACCGGGCCGCTCGCTCCGGTGCTACCGGGTGGCTTCGCTCTCTGACCCGGGTCCATGTCGGCCTCCTCCGGGACCGAGATGCTCCCTTCTATGGCTGCTGGTACCGACTAATCTCTGGAGCGGGAAACTTTCACAGTCCGGCCAAACGAGTGCAGATATAAAATGAGTTAAAATCACTGCTAATCTCCTAAACTAACAGAACAACTGGATAATTTGTTAAAAGGTTGAAGTTTATTAAATAAAAACGTTAGTTTCTGACTGCTAGCTTAAAATGCTAACGTTGTTATTGTTCGGTGCGGACTAATAGTTGGGCTGTTCGGTGTTTTCTGCTCCTGGTTTCTGGTCGGTTCCGTGTTTAAAACYTCTTCTTATGTTGAGTTTATTAACAGCTGAAACCAGCTGCTTGTCTCCTCTCCAGAAAGTAGTCTGGTGCTTCACTCTGCTGGGCGGGGTGTATTTGCTGGAAGCAGCAGTGAGAACTGGATGTTTACCTGTGGACAAACTGTTAAACACCTGTGTTGACTGAGAGCAGGGCTCTGAAGGTACAGGTGTGCTCAGTTAGTAAATTATAAATCTGATCTGACAGGTTTCAGAGTAACAGAACCAAACCAGCTCCTGTCTTTAACACCTGAGTCCAGTCCTCACCTGTCCACAAAGCTTTGTTTCAGTTTATTACAGCAAACACAGCTCCAACTGACAGGTCTGAGCTCAGAAAGGTCCAGGACTGAAGGYTCTCAGGGTCCACGGTCCAGGAGAACAAGGACCAGAAGACTCCAAGCAGGATGGAGACAGAGGTGACAGCAAGGAGACAAGTGAGACCTGCTGTGTGGGACAGGTTGGAGACAGAGACATGGACAAACAGACAGGAGACAGAGACAAGGACAAACAGACAGGAGACAGAGACAAGGACAAAAAGACAGGAGACAGAACTGGAAGTGTCAGAGCTGAAGATGTTGAGGTTCTCCTTAGGATTGACAAGGGTGGTTAAGAATAATAATTATCTCATCCGACGTAAAGCGCAGGTTGAACAT